CTCCAGGCTCCGAGCCATCAGCCCAGAGCCTGACGCGGGGCTCGAACTCACCGACCGCGAGATCGCGACCTGGCTGAAGTCGGACGCTCAACTGACTGCGCCACCCAGGCGCCCCAATAAGTGATTTTTATTAAACATCTCTTGGGGCGCCTGGGTGGCTCAGTCGGTTAAGCGGCTGACTTCAGCTCAGGTCATGATTTCATGGTCCGTGAGTTTGAGCCCCGCGTCGGGCTCTGTGCTGACAGCTCAGAGCCCGGAGCCTGTTTCAGATTCTGTGTCTCCCTCTCTCTGACCCTCCCCCGTTCATACTCTGTCTCTCTCTGTCTCAAAAATAAATAAATGTTAAAAAAATAATAATAAATAAAAAAAAATCATCTCTTATGACCATAGAGTTTTGTTCAATAGCCCTTTTATTACAAAAGCTACCTGAAGTAACTACCAGCATAATCTGCAGTTTGTTATATTAGTTTAACTGTACTGTGAATAAAACATCTATCCTCAACCAGTTTAGTAATTAAGCATCACTTGTTCAGACAAATGTGGGAAGACTGTCACTTGGATCAATGAAATGTTCTTACTTTTGAGGTAAAAATAAAGTGTAATTTAAGTTATTTTACTAGTCTTTCAATAGGCTCCTAACTTGGCTTTTTTTCCTCTAGCTCCTCGCCCTTCAATCCCCTTTTTATTGCTGTCAGATTTTTCTTCCTGAAAAGATTGTAGAAAGAACTTTCTGCCAAATCCCTCTCAAATTCCAAATTGTACCTGCTTAAATAATGAGGTTTTACCATACAACATAGTTTTGTTTTCTGCCAAACTCTAGTTATAAACTCCTAAATCTGGGTTACCCACATTAATAACTTCCTCACAAGACAGAAGCTTATTATTAGTGAGAGTCACAAATTATGCCAATTGAGCTCACTACAAATTGATGTTTGAGTCCCTTTACCTCCTGGCAATGTAGTCAATCATCTATTCAGTTCCTATGGAATCATACCAACTATACCAAACCTTCTTTATTTAACTCAAGTCTTATAGGAAGAGGGCTTCCTTCTGCTAGGATAAAAGCCATCATACAAACTCTTCTGACTTACCCTATCTCTATTTTATATTTCCTCTGAATTTTCATTTATCCTGGTCTCTTCTCCTATCTTAAAAATAGAAGTATATTTCCTGCTTTCAAAACACAACCACAATTTGCCACCTTCACACAATTTCTGTAAGAGAGCTTGCTCCTACAGCTTCAAATACCTCTTAAAGAAAGGCTTTGTGAAGGCAGTGACTCGTATCTTAACTTTTGTATCCTCCAGCGTTATCAAGTTGTTTTCTTCTTTTGATGATGAAATTACTCAACCCTTGAACAATTTCAAATTATGAACTGAGATAATTTGATAGGAATATTTTAATATGTACCTGCTACAGATTTAAATATTTAGATCTGCTTTTGAGCCTTAATGAGCTGATCATATACAACATATAAAACAACAAGAACTGTAAAAAAAAATCAGAAGTTATATTTACCTCTAACTTCAACTCTTTAATTCTTAAACTTGCATTTTCATTATGTCAAATTTAAATACCATAAAGTTCATTTATGACCTTTTCAAAGTAAGTTTTCATTGTGGCATTAAGACCAGTTCTATTTTAACTTCCCAGAATAAACTAGATATAATGAGAGCACTAACAGGAGGGATCTTTTTCCCTCCCATCATACATCAGTAGCTACTCTGATTCTCTATATTAAAATAAAGTTTATTAGCATTAAATATAAGACTTTAAATACTTTACCTGAAGAATAACAACTATCCAAGTCAGTCGGTTATATCCCTGAAAAAATCCATTCTTTGACACCAATTCTCCATCATAAATGTAGACACCCATTAATCCAAATATACTCCCAAAGAAACCTATAAAAAAGTAAATTTTATGGCATGTGTCATTTAGTTTGTCTGGAGAGATATTTTTCCACTGGTATTCTAAATTTTATATTTAGCTTTTCCTTTTTGATAAAATTTGACTACTTTAAAAATCTTTTACTTGGGTATTTATATAAACTTAACAAAATTATACTTTGTACTATATTATAACTGTAAGACAAAGACAATATAAAAAAGAACAGAGATTACCAACTCTGGAACACTAAAAACTATAATGTTTAAATTACATGACCACATGGCTGTCTCATTCAAGTATCTGGAAAATGCTCACTTTTGGCATATTCATTGTGTCTCATATCTTCCTATTGCTAGCTCTATATTCTTATATATTCATACACACACACACACACACACACGCACACACAAAGAAACTATACACACACAAACTATAAAGAAAGAAATGGAAACCTATAGAGACCATTTGTCAGGAGTAGTCTGGTAAGATATGCAGTCAGTGTGCAGAATGAAGCAATGTTTTTATAAAGACATAACTACTTGAAGTATTCCATGATGGAAAGGAACTGAAAGGATATGAAATGTTCTTTTAATTTTATTTATGCCAATTCATTTTTTAATTAAGTTTTTAATTTTAATTCCAATATAGTTAACATACAGTGTTATATTAGTTCCAGGTATACATCAATCATTTTAAGATGTCTAATTTTGAACATGACAGTAATACAAATTTACAAAGTTACAAAAATAAAAAATACAAAAAGAAACACTTATGAAAGTATTAATCAGGTTTCTATTTTTTAATTATAAAACAACACTTGCTAATTAGGAAAAAAGGTATCCAATACAGGTTATATACATGTCAGTATATACAGATCTACAGCATTCTATCAGTTGTACAATATTCCATTTATGGATGATGATAATAATATGACATACATAACATGTTGTATGTAGAACACAAATTGTTCTAAGTGCTTTATGTATGCTAACTTACAACAACCCTATTAGGCAGATACTCCTATGCCCATTTTATGGATGAAGAAACTGATACACAGAGAAGTTAAACTTGTCTGAGCTCACACTGCTGGTAAGTGATGGACTCAGGATTTGAATCCAGGCAGTGTGGCTCTGGACTCCATGATCCTAATCACTGCACTATTTAATCATACGGACAATTTATTTAAGCAATATTCTACATGTCTATTTTTTACAATTGTAACCAATGCTAAAATGAATAACCTTGATCTATCTTTGTGCTCTTGTGTAAGTATACTTATAGGATAAATTCTTATTCAGAAGTAGAATTTTTGCATCAAAGCATTTATATAAAATTTTGTTAAACACCCCCAAATTGAGATCCAATAAGGTTATATCAATCTATACTCCTGGCAACCATAGGTAATAAGAGTTCCTATTTCTTCACTCTCTGGCTAATGTTGGACCTTATCAATTTGCTAATTGTTGATAGTTTGATACTTGAGAAATGCTATTAAGAGAGAAGGGAAACAGAGGATCTGAAGCAGGCTGTGCTGACAGCAGAGGGCCCAATGCAGGGCTCGAACTCACGAACCGTGAGATCATGACCTGAGCCAAAATCAAGAGTTCGATGCTTAACCTACTGAGCCACCCACGTGCCCCTACTTTGAATATTCTTAAAAAACATAAAACAAAAAACAGAAAACTTGATACATTTATAAAATTTTGCAGAGAAACAAACAAATCCTGTGATAAATATAAAGGTTCAGTTTGTTACCACATTACTGGAAAACAGCTGGAAAAATGGACTAAGGCTTAGAGGTTCTTTGGGAATGTTTGACTTAAAATATAGGCCATTAGGAGTACAGACATTCACTGTGGAGGGCCTGACTGCTACCAGGAGAGACACGATAAATTTGTTAAGTTGATGTAGACAAAAAAACAAAACAAAACAAAAAACAGTTTTCAAACATGAGCTCCAAAGTCACAAGAACAGAGACTTGAAATAGAATGGTTGATTTGCAATGAAGCTGTCTCTCACATGTAGCATTTTCCAAAATTAATATATACCTGGAATACTATATCTGGAATTTTTGTATGAGAAATTAAACGCTATAATACTGTAATAGTTTAAATATTTGTTCAAATGAAATCCTTAAGTATGTGAGGTCTTTTTGTTTGTTATAAACTATTTACCTTCAGTTAAAAAAATGTTACAGAATTTAAAAGCTAAAACAAAATATTTTGAAATAAAAAGATAATAAAATAAATATTTTAAAAGATAAAAAATAATATTTTAAAACAAAGATGAAAGTTTCATCATTTCAAACTTCCTCTATTAAGTTTCTTTTTTTTCTTTTTCAGCTTTATTGAGGTAAAATTGACAAGTAAAATTGTGTAAGCTATTTAAAGTGCACGTCTTGAGGATTTGAAATATAATATGGTGACTATAGTTGATAACACTATATCATATAATTGACATTTGTCAAGTATCTTAATCTCCTTATCCCCCCAGGAAGAGAGTATGTTATTTGTAACATCTTCTCTGAGAATTGGAGCAACCAAGAATAAAGTTCTTAAGTCTTCAAATAGTGAGGACAGAAATAGGCTATATATACCCTTATGTCACAGACCTAAAATTACATATTCTTGAATAACAGGCATTCATTTAAAACACAATGCTTTTTGGTGTTGTTTGTTTTTTAAATACATTGTTTCTGGGGGGGGGGGAGGGATACAAAGAGAGGGAGAGAGAGAATCTTAAGCAGGCTCCCATGGCCAGCACGGAGAACTCTAGGGCTCCATCTCAACTATGATGAGATCATGACCTGAACCAAAATCAAGAGTCGGATGCTTAACCAACTGAGCCACCCAGGTGCCCCTTGCCAGACATTTGTATCAGTGAGATTTTATGGGAGGCTTATTTATTTAAAGATATATAGTAATCTTTAAGTCTAACATTAAAAAATATTATGAAAAAAAGATAACTTTAGAAAGCATTTCAAACTTACCAAGTTGAATGTTTCTTATCCAAACTGATTGTTTGGTTTCTTTCAAGATTTTCTCAAAGTAAACCCCAGCAAAGCCACTTGAAAAACATGCTGTGAGAACTGCCATGAGGCCTACAAATTGAGAGCCAGCTGAAAGTTCCTTAGAATCAAGCTCCTGAGAATCTGAGGGCCACTGAACAAAAAGAAAAACAAAACTGTAGTTTATTCTTATGATATTTTACAAAGTACATATTTAGAGTGCACTCTCAGACCTTAAGATAAAAATGCAACCAATACCATTCTTGGGGATTGCAGAGGAGAGCTTTTGAAAGAAAATCTTAGAATCATTTTATTTTTTTCCCATAGTGATATTACTGTTACAACTTACAATTTCAAAAAATTCCCTAAAAAAGAGAAAGAGAATGAGTAAATGCACAGATGCACAAAACAGCTTCTATAAGCAGTTCAGTTGTAGAAATTCAAAGTGTGAACTGTTGGAGCAGCAAAAATGATTCTGGAGCTGTTGGTTATTATGGAAGTTCCATATGGTATCATGTTAACCACTGTGGGCTTTATCCCATAGTTCAGTGTTCCTGAAATTATCTTCATGGCTTTTGTTAAATCTGTGTTCCACCTGAACTCTTACTTGATATTTTAATTAAAAAATTTTTAATATTTATTTATTTTTGAGAGAGAGAGAGAGAGAGAGAGAGAGAGAGAGAGAGAGAGAGATGGGAGGGGCAGAGAGAGAGGGAGACAGAATCCAAAGCAGGCCCCAGGCCCTGAACTGTCAGCACAGAGACCAACGCAGGGCTCTAACTCATGTACTGTGAGATCATGACCTGAGCTGAAGTCGGACACTCAACCAACTGAGCCACCCAGAGACCCCGTGATATTTTAATTTAAAACACCTCACTTTTTACAATGTAATACCTACTTTAGCTTATCCTTAGCAATATCTATGAAAATATGGGTTTGAAATGGCAGTTATATTTTTGTAACACCCATTTTAAAATATATTAACTAGGGGTATCTGGGTGGCTCAGTTGGTTAAGTCCTACTCTTGGTTTTGCCTCAGGTCATGATCTCATGGTTTGTGGATTCAAGCCCTGCTCTGGGCTCTGTACTGACAGTATGAAGCCTGCTTGGGATTCTTTCTCTCTCCCTCTCTCTGCACCTCCTCTGCTCACTTGCTCTCTCAAAATAAATAAATAAACATTTTAAAAAAATAAATAACAGAAATATTTATTCAAGATAGACATAGCACCCCTGGAGAAAGTAATCGGGGAGGAGGGCTCTGGATGGCAGGAAATTGGCATGATTGGATTTGTTTTTAGATAAACCATAGTGGTGACTACTGGAGTTTGAATTTTGAGGGATGGATAAGACTGAAGTAAAAAAAATCAGGAGGCAAATGATCACATGAGAAACAAGACGACATGAACTGGGGAAGAGACAGAGAAGGACAGAATCAAGAAGCATTACAAAGCAGCAATAGCAAAGTCTTAGTGACTGAATAGATGTAGAGGCAGAAGGAAGAGTTAAGACAACTCCCAGGCAGAGTAAATAATGAGGGAAAAAAATACAAGCAAGAATAGTTTCGGTGGAGGAAAAGGTAAAGTTTAGTTTTGGATATGCTCAGTTTATAAAGCCTATTGAATAACTGAACTAAGATGTCCAACAGGTTTTTAGATGTACAAATCTGAAATTATGGGTGAGACACAGACCAAGGAACTATGAGCATATATGTGTTAATAAAAACCTACAGAATGAAGTCTCCAAAAATAAGGACATAATTTAAGGTAAATAACAAGCCTACCAGCAACCCCAATATCAAGGAAAAGGACCCCAGGAAGGAGCCCAATAAAGAATTATTAGGAAGATGAGAAGAACCAGGAAAGAATGGTATCAGGGAAGCTGATGAACAATAAGAAGGGAGTAATTAATAACCTCAAATGCAGAGCGCCTGGATGGCTCAGCTGGTTAAGCGTCTGACTTTGGCTCATGGTTTGTGAGTTTGAGCCCTGCATCAGGCTCTGCGCTGCTGGTGTGGAGCCTGCTTGGGATTCTCTCTCTCTCTCTCTCTCTCTCTCAATCAGTAAAACTTAAAAAAATTTTTTTAATAAAATAATCTCAAAAGCTCCAGACATCCAGTAAAAATCAGTGTTGTTTTATGTACGATTTTATTTCCCTAACTAGATTTGTGTCAGATAATTTGATTTTTACTTATTTTAATTTTAAAAATTTCATTCATTCATTCATTCATTCATTCATTCATTCATTCATTCATTCATTCATTCCCTTGTTTAAATTCCAGTATAGTTAACATACAGTGTTATATTAGTTTCAGGTGTTCAATATAGTAACTTAACAATTCTGTACATTACTCAGAACTCATTAAGAGGAATGTACTCTTAATCCCCTACACCTATTTCACCCATCCCCCTCACCTGTCTCCTCTCTGGTAACTATCAGTTTATTCTGTATAGTTAGGAGTCTGTTTTTGGTTTGTCTCTTTTTTTCTTTGCTTTGGTTCTTAAATGCCACAGATGAGTGAAATCATATGGTATATAAATACAATTGAACATTACTCAGGTACAGAAAAGAATGAAATCTTACCATTTGCAACAACACCGATGGACCTACAGAGTATAAGACTAATAAGTAAAATAACTTATATAAGACTTTTATTTCTCATTAGTTGCAGTCCCGATGTAGTATCTTACTCAAAGGAAGCCCTCAAAATATGTCAGTTGTGAGAATAAAAATTTACTCGCTTCAACAAATAACAAATGTATCCTCCATGCACAATAAGGTTTTGAAACTGTGATAAAAATGAAAGGTGTACTTATCTTGAATAGTTACCTGTACAAAAGCAACTCCTGTCATCAAAATTACTAGGGAGAGCCACTGGTACACACCTAATTTTTTACTAAGCATAGACACAGAAAATAATGCTGTTGTAAGAATTTTCAACTGATATGTGACCTGAAAAAGAAAAGAGCTAATATTATTGTTTGTTTATTTGCTTCTTAAAAGAACTACTAGAAATATATTTTAAGTACCTGATAAGTAGCTGCATCCAGATTTGATAGTGCCACATAAAGTAAATTATTCTGAAGAGTATATATCCCTGATGGAATAGCAAGTTTCAGAGTTTCCATAGGTTTATTAAGTATTTCATCATGCAGTATTCGATTCAGTGCTCTTAGACTACATTCTAGAAAACACATGAAATGGGTAAAACCAATAATTAAGTAACTCTGAATAAGTTACATACTCTCTCTCAAGGCCTCAGTTTTCTCACCTATAAAAAATGGAAACAGGCCTACATGTTAAGATACTTTTAGGTCTGAAATATACCTTTAATGATACTAATTTTTCAAAAGTTAAATATTATAACATAGCATATTAAGAACATTATCCTTATAGTCTTTCATTAGGAAACGTAAGCAAATTGATTATATGTATTTACATATATGTACACATACATATCTGCACATACATAGTTATGATAACCAAACGCTCAAAGTATTAATTTTTTAGCTAAGTATTCTTACTCTATAGTAGCAACATTATAAAAACTTGTATTTTGTGCATTCCATTTTATCACCAGCCATTCAAGCCAATTAATAATTGTGAAGACTTTAATCATAAAAAGACAGTAAAACAACTAAGGAGTGGGTTTGGCTGCAAACAACACAAAACCCAGTGAATACTGGCTCAACCTCAAAGGGACCTGTCTCATCCTCAAAGGGCCAGGGCCAGGTCCAAAGCAGCTCAGGGATGACATCAGGGTCCTAAGCTCACTCTCCATTTATATTGGCTTTTTACCTTCATGCTTCTCATCTATTGTCTACATGATTATTGCAACAAGGTCACCACATGATCACCGCAATTGTGTCTGGTTCTTGTTTTTAGGCAGCAAGAAAGAACAGGAGGATACAGTGACCTAGTGGGCATCTTCTTTTGCTGTCACAGACCAGGATTTTGTTGCACAGCTATCCCCTGCAGCAAGGGAGCTGGGCAATGTCGTCTTTTCTTTCATAGTCTCCATATTAGAAACAACAAAGGGAGAAAGGGGTTGGAAATGGACTTCAAGCTAGCCAGCCTACAGTACTAATCACAAAAAAATGTCCAAAGAACTTTAAGAGATACATAAACCCTTAAAGACAGGAGAAATCTAAGGATCCTACTACTTTACCAATAATGACACTTCATAGCTGATTTTCTCTCCTAACATAAAACTTGAAAACTTTGATTATGAAAACTTTTTTTAATGGAAAAAATGTTTAAAGATTAATATGTGATATTTATCCTTTCCTTACCCTAAAATAATAATAGTAAAATAAAAGGTAACTAAAAGTTACCAAAAGATTTCTTCTTAGATTTAGCAGAAAAAAAATCTAAAATATTAGCTTATTTAAACATTTTTAAAATTATATTAAAATTTAAAATAATTAATGCTGTGACATATTTTTCTCAACAGGAGTTCAGGGAAGGTCTTGTTCCTTATTCCTTCCAATTCCTGGTATTGTTAGGCTTTTTCTTTTTGCCAATCTGAGGGTATTGAAATTGCGTCTGTGGCTTTAATTTGATTTCTCTGCTTGCTAGTAAAGTTGATCTATATTTATATATTGTTATATATTTATATAAATATATTTTTATATATTTATTTATATTTTAGAAATTTTTTAATATATTTATTGGCCATTCAGGTTTCTCTCTCTCTCTCTCTCTTTTTTAAGTTTATTTATTTTTGAGAGAGAGACAGAGAGAGACAGAGACAGAGCATGTGCGCACAAGCAGGAGAGGAACAGAGAATCTGAAGCATGTTCCAGGTTCTGAGCTGTCAGCACAGAACTCAATGTGGGGCACGAACTCATGAACCTGACCTGAAATTGGACACTTAACTGACTGAGCCACCCAAGAGCCCCCAGGTTTCTCTTCTGTAGGCTGCTTATCTTTTGTCCACTTTTCTGTTGAGATGCTTGTCTTTTCCTTATTGAATTATGTAAGTTCTTTGACGTTCTGGATGTTCATTATTGGTGGATACATGTGATGTAAATATCTTCTCTCAATCTCTGGTTTATCTTCGCATTTGGTTTTATATGCAGGCATTTTTTCATTTTAATGTACCCCAAGTCATCCATTTTTTAAAAGTTCATTTGTGGGGCGCCTGGGTGGCTCAGTCGGTTGAGCGTCTGACTTTGGCTCAGGTCATGATCTCCTGGTTTGTGAATTCGAGCCCTGTGCCAGGCTCTGTGCTGACAGCTCAGAGCCTGGAGACTGCTTCGGATCCTGTGTCTCCCTTTTTCTCTGCCCCTCCCGCACTCATGCTCTGTCTCTGTCTCTCAATAATATAATAAATATATGTTAAAAAAATGTTTTAAAATGTTCATTTGTATTCTTTGTATCTTATTTGAAATAATTCACAGTACCAAAGCCATAAATGTCAATCTTTATATAGAATTTTTTTTTAATTAAAAAAATTTTTTTTTAATTTAACCTAAAAACCTGGGAATTATTCCTCAGACTGGATTCTCCATTTCCTTGATCTTCACACACCTACTCTGCTAGCAAGTCATGTCAATTATAGTTTAAAAACATCTGTGTGGGGGGGCGCCTGGGTGGCATGCGAAGTCGGGTTAAGGCCAACCGACTTCAGCCAGGTCACGACCTCGTCCCACAGAGTTCGAAAGCCCGGCTGGTTTGGGCTGATGGCTCAGGAGCCTGGAGCCTGCCTCCGTGTTCATCGCCCTCTCTCTGCCCCTCCCGTCATGCGATACTGTTCTCTGTCCCAAAAAATAAAATCGTTGAAAAAAATTCTAAAAAAACAAACATCGTGTGGGAAGCTTGGGTGGCTCAGTTGGCTGAGTGTCGGACTTTGGCTCAGGTCATGATCTAGCATTCAGGGTTCAAGCAGTGGCTCTGTTCGACCCTTCTAGAGCTAATGGCCAGTTCTTGTCCCCCTCTCTGCCCTCCCCGCCATGCTCTGTCTCTCTGTCAAAAATAAATAAACATTAAAAAAAAATTAAAAAACAAAAAAAAAAAACCAACATCTGTGTGAACCGGGCAAATCCTGGGTGGCTCAACGCTAGTGTCTGATCTTGCTCAGGTCATGATCTCACCATTTGTGAGTTCAAGCCCCACACGGCCTGGCTCTGTACAGCCTGGAGCCGCTTCAGAATCTGTGTCTCCTCTCTGTCTGTGCACCTTCCCCACTCTCACATGCTGTCTCTTCTCTTTCTCTCAAAAAATACAATTAAGCATTAAAAAAAATTAAAAAAAAATCTATGTGAACTAAATCAATGCCATCTTGGACAATCTGCCGTAAATACCCGCCTCCCCCAACACACACACACACACACACACACACACACACACTCTTCCTTTTGTTTAATTCATTACTTTTGGAACATTCTGGGTAATAGCTCCGGCGGTTAATATCGATTCAGTCTCAGGGTCATGATCTCACACGCGGTTTGAGCCCCAGGTGCCTGGGAAGTTAAGAAGTTTGAGTCTGTTGATTCTCTTCTGACCTCCTTCTTTCCTTCGTCATACTATACTCTGTCTCAAAAATAAATAAACATTAAAAAACAAATCACACTTTTAAGTACATCCTTAGGATATAATGTCCATGATATGATCTGTCTTGGAGATATGACTGACACACACCTATTCTTTTTTTTAATTTTTTTTTTAATGTTTTATTTACTTTTAAGACAGAGAGACAGAGCATGAGTGGGGATGGGGCAGACAGAGAGGGAGACACAGAATCCGAAGCAGGCTCTAAGCTCTGAGCTGTGAGCACAGAGCCCGATGTGGAGCTCAAACTCAGGAACTGTGAAATCATGACCTGAGCTGAAGTTGGATGCTTAACCAACTGAGCCACCCAGGTGTCCCATGACACACACCCATTCTTAAACATTTTCCTCTTGGATGGCCTCCAACATGTACTCCCCAACCTCTAGGGCGATAAAAGCAGGCCTGAAGGGAGATGGTTGTTGCAGAGATCTACTCCTCTTGCAGCTACCAAAGACACCCTCATCAAGCTGGATTTGTCAGCCTTTTTCTTTAGTCTTTGAGTTCCTTCAGCCTTTGGAGGTGGTTCTGCATATACCTCCTGTTCAGAGAACAACGTCGCATAAACATCATCTCTTCTCTACCAATGTCATCTAAGCTACCATCATCTTCTTGCCTGGACTAGTGCCATAGCTTCCATATATGATTTCTTGAACCTATTCTTGCATCTCCTCTACTGGCAATATGACTACTGTACTGGTCTTTCCATGCACAAAATGGGACATATTTTAAACATTTCAATTATTTCCTTTTTGCTTTTATGGTCATATCTGTAGCCTACAAAGCTGCATTGCATTTTCTGAATGCCAATTCAATCTCTCTTTGTTCCATTCTTATCCTTGATCAATATGCTACAGCCACACTGGCCACCATAATAGATTCAAAAGTATACTAAATTTATGAACAATTTAAAAAATAGGCAGCAGACTTGAACAGACATTTCTCTAAAGATAAACAAATGGTCAATAAGCACATGAAAAGACGCTCAACATCATTAGTCATTAGGGAAAATCAAATCAAAACCATAATAAGATACAATGTCACACCTACTAGAATGGCTATACATTTTTTATTTTATTTTATTTATTTATTTTGAGAAAAAGGATGGACACACATGTGGGGGTGGGGAGGGGCAGAGAGAGAGGGAAAGAGAAAATCCCAAGCAGATTCTGTGCTTTCAGCACAGAGCCTGACACGGGGCTCAATCTCACAACTGTGAGATCATGACATAAGCCTAAATCAAGAAGTGGTCACTCAACTGACTGAGCCACATGGCACCCCTATACATTTTTTTTTTTTTTTGAATAACAAGTGTTGGTAAGGATGTAGAGAATTTTCAGCCCTCGGACATTGCCAATGGGAATACAAAATGTTGTAGTAGCTGTGGAAAAGTTTGGTGGCTCTTCAAAATGTTAAATGCAGAATTACCATGTGACCAAGCAATTATACTCCAATGTATATACTCAAAAGTTATGAAAGCAAGGACTTGAGCAGAGACTTATGCCTCTATTGCAATATTAATTATTCAGTATTCATTGCAGCATTATTCACGATACCAAAAGGTGGAAAAAACTTAAGTGTCCATCAATACATTAATGGCTACAATGTTATACACACACGTATATATATACAATGAAATATTATCTGGTCATAAAAAGGAATAAAGTTCTGGGGTGCCTAGGTGGCTCACATGGTTAAGTATCTGACTCTTGATTTTGGCTCAAGTCATGATCTCACAGATCGTGTGATCGAGCCCTGCGTGGGACTCTACGCTGATAACATGGAGCCTGTTTGGGATTCTCTCTCTCCCTCTCTCTCTGCCCCTCCCCCATCTGCCCTCACTGGTGCATGTTGTGTGTATGTCTCTCTCTCTCTCTCAAAATAAACATTAAAAAAAAGAAATAAAGTTCTGATACATGTTACAACATGGATTAAACTTGAAAACATTGTCTAAAATAAGCCAGACATAAAAGGAGAAATACTGTATGATTCTACTTAGATGGAATATCTATAACAGGCCAATTCATAGAGACAGAAAGTAGAATAGAGGTTTCCAAGTACTGAAGATAAAGGGGAATGGGAATTATTATTTAATGGTTACAGAGTTTCTATTTGGTGTGAATGAAGTTTTGGAAATAGTGCTAGTGGTTGCACAACATTGTGAATATAATTAATGCCACTGAATTATACTTAAAAGTGGTTAAAGTTGCAAATTTTATGATATATATGTGTGTAAAAATATATTGTACTACAATTTCAAAGAATAATGCAATATACCCCAGAACACAGAATTTTATACTTCAAAACCTGTGAATTATATGGTATATGAATTATATCTCAATAAAGTTGTTTTTTTCTTAAAATGTATCAGATTAGTCACTACTAGACTAACCAATGCAACAAATAATATAAAAAGGCTTGACTTTAGTAAAAAATTGTGACTTCTCTAAATTTCTAAAAGTTACAGAACTATATAGAATTTACTTATTCTCAAATTATTATAAATGCAAGAAGCTATATTTCATATTTACAGCATTAACTGGAAGACATGAATCATGATATAGATCAGAATAAAATGTCTTCATTACTAGACTAAAATTGTCTTAAGAAAATGAAAAATATTGAAATGTCTGTAATAGTAGGACATTAGATAAGGCAATAGTGTTCAAATGTGTAGTTAACAATATACATATATGTGTGTATATATATATATGTATACATATGAATGTATGTATGTATATATATATATCTCATATGTAAATAACACCAAAATAATCAAGTAAATTGCAATGACTTGAGAACAGAAAACCAAAAAACTTACTGCTATCTTTGTAGACTAATAAAATGCAGGCCATTATTTTCAAAAGTTCAGCAACAACCACTGCTGTAGAAGATAGATAACGAGGTCCCTCTTCTTTTAAAGTCCTAGAGTAACGCATCGTTAGAACCAAACTGGTAGTCTGAAAGACCAAAATTCCCAAGGAAAGGTATTTTAGGTTGGCGGACATTGTTTTATCTTCATTTGCCTGAAAAACAAAATAATTAGGGCAAATAAACAAAATTAGAAAATACAGAAACATTTATTAAAAATCATTATGAGACTTCTGGTTCCAGACAAGAATGAGTAAGTGCATTCCACCCTTTTCTTCCTGCTAATCATAACTATAAACCCTGGACCAAAGACAAAAAGTAAGTACTAGAATACTCAGGAAGGTGAAGAAAATAAGACAAACTGGCTAGCGACCCCAGATCTTTTTTTTTTTTTTAATTTCTAAAAAATTTTTTAAGTTTATTTATTTATTTTGAGAGAGACAGAGAGAGAACACAAACAGGGGAGGGGCAGAGAGAGAGGAGGACAGAGAATCCAAAGCAGGCTCTGTGCTGAAAGCAGAGAACCTGATGTGGGGCTTGAACTCATGAACCATGAGATCATGACCTAAGCTGAAGTCAGACACTTAACTGACTGAGGTTGGAGAGGCTAAATTATGATCAGGCAAAAACAATTACATAAGAATTATTTCTAGAATGAAAGAAGGACATTCCATAATGATAAAAGAGTCAATACATCAGTAAGATATAGCCAGTTATAAATGAATATGTGCCTAATAACATAGCTTCAAAACACATGGGACAAAAACTAACATATTAAAAAACAACAACAGGTAAAGCCATAAGACATAATGTGAGGTTTTAACCTACTTTTTTCAGTAATTAATAGAATACACACACATGCACACCAAAACCCGCCAGTAAGAATACAGAAGATCTGAACAACGGTATCAACCACCATAACTCCTGCAAACATGGAGAGGCTCCACCAAGAGCCTCTTTTGAGGAAGAACTTAATGCAGTATGTGTGGTCAGTTCACTTCTCCTCCACTTATCATTTGCTTCCAAATGATGTAAAGATTCAGTGCAATTCCAAGCAAAATCCCTATAGGTTTTTGGTAGAAACTGACAAGCTGATTTAAAAATTTATATGGAGGGGCACCTGGGTGGCTCAGTGGGTTGAGTGTCCAGCTCTTGATTTCAGCACAGGTCATGTTCTCACAGATCTCACAGTTTGTAAGATCGAGCCCCATGTCAGGTTCTGCACTGTATTCTTTTTATTTTTTAAAAATGTTTATTTATTTATTCTTTTTATTTTTTAAAAATGTTTATTTATTTTGAGAGAGAGAGTTCATGTGCATGTACCTGAGAGGGAGAGAATCCTAAGCAGGCTCCACATTGTCAGCACAGAGCCCTACATGGGGTTTGATCCCATGAAAGATGAGATCATGACCTGAACTAATATCAAGAGTCAGACACTTAACCAACTGAGCCATCCAGGAGCTCCATTTTTAAGTGAATCTCTATCCTTATTTATCTCACACCAAATATTTAACTAGAAATGAATCACAGACCTGTCATAAAAGCTAAAGCTATAAATATTCAATAAGAAAACAAGAGAAAAATGTAGACACTTAGGAATATGCAAAGATTTCTTAGATACAAAAAACACAAACCATAAAAGAAAAATATGGATAAATTGGATATCATTAATTTAAAACTGTTCCTCCAAAGATACTATAAAAATAAAGGCAAACCACATGATGGGAGAAAATATTCTCAACACATCTATCTGACAATGGCTTTGTGTGTCCAGAATATATACAGAACTCTTACAACACAGTAAGTACAAGACAACCCATGAGCAAAAGATTTGAATACACATTTCATCAAAAAAGATGAATGAATGGCTAATAGGCACATGAAAAGATGTTCAACATCACAGTCATTACAGAAATACAAATTAAAACCACAATGAGATACCATTATGTACCTACTAGAATGGCAAAAATTTTTAAATTGATGCTACCAAGCAATGGAGTGGGTTTAGAGCAGAGGTCTTACATTGCTAGTGGGACTATTAAGTGATACAACCACTTTGAATAACACTTTGGTAGTTGATTTTAAAAAATAATAATCTTTTCAAATGACCTAGAAATTCCACTCTTAGGTATACTCAAGAGATCTGAAAACATTTATCGATAATGCTCGTATATAATTATTCATGTGAATTTCATTTATAACATTCAAAAACTGCAAATAACCCAAATGCCCATTAACAGGTGAATTACTAAACATACTGTGGTACATCCATGATGGAATACTACTTAGCAATAAAAAGAAATGAAATACTGATGTATGGTAAAACATCAATGAATCTTAAAAAGAAATTAAACAAAAAAGTTTACAGACAAAACTGTATACACTACATGATCCATTTTTATGAAATTCTAAAAAGGGCAAAAGTAATTTGCAGTGACAGATGCAGACTGTGGCCAGGGGTTGAGGTTGGAGGTTGACTGCAAAGGGATAGCAAGGAATTGTTGGTGATAATGGAAATATTCTGTACCTTGATTGTGTGATGATTATACAATTCTATTCACTTATTGTAACTCACTGATCTGTACATTTAAAAAGGATACATCTTATTGTGTGTAAATCACAAATCAACAAAGTTGATCAAAGATTGAGGATAGGAGTGCCTCCGTGGCTCAGTTGGTTATGCATCTGACTCTTGATTTTGGCTCAGGTCATGATCTCACAGTCTGTGAGTTTGAGCCCCAAAGCGGGCTCTGTGCTGGCAGTGCAGAACCTCCTTGGGATTCTCTCTCTCTGCCCCTCCCCCATTCGTGTGCATGCACTTGCTCTCTAAATAAATAAATAAGTAAATAACCTTAAAAAAAAAAGATTGAGGATGTACTAAGTAGTAGCATTCCTCAACAGGCTTTCCTCATACTTTGATTTTGGCTCTAATTCCTTTGGATTAATACCAATGATGTTCTGTTAGTCTATTCTTCAGGCCAATTTTTTTTTTATTTTTTTTTTTCAACGTTTATTTATTTTTGGGACAGAGGAGACAGAGCATGAACGGGGGAGGGGCAGAGAGAGAGGGAGACACAGAATCGGAAACAGGCTCCAGGCTCTGAGCCATCAGCCCAGAGCCTGACGCGGGGCTCGAACTCACGGACCGCGAGATCGTGACCTGGCTGAAGTCGGACGCCCAACCGACTGCGCCACCCAGGCGCCCCTCTTCAGGCCAATTCTATCCTTTCCATGATTCCATCTTCCATCCTAAGTTTTGTTAATATGAACACTTTTTATTATATATTTCTTTATAGCTCTCACAACCAAGCCACCCTTTATGGCTCTAGTTATATGATCCACTATCTTTCCTCACCTCATAATCATTAAAATAGCAACATAATATATTCAAATAGATCCAATAGTCATTATTTGGTGCCTATAGTAGGCCAAGTACCATGGTAACAAAGAGAGCCTATCCTTGAAGGAACAAAGTCTAGCTTATTAAATTTAGCAATTCCTATCTCAAATTGAATATGCTCCAAATCCAAACAATGTAGCACCATAAATACGAGGATAAAATTTTCAATAGTGAAAAACAAATGATTGAAAAAAATTACCTTAAGTACTTTATATGAATATCAGAGAGAAAATTTGAATAATATATCTCTTTTTGTCATATATAAATAAGAGCATCAAACCTAGAGGAAAGAATACATAGATTTATGTATTAACCATCTCACTGTTGTAAATCTGCATTAGCAAGAGTCCTAATGTGAAATGAAATTACGGCATTTTAGAGATAGAAGATGCTTTAGAAATCATCTAGTACAAATCTCTTCATTTTAAACTGAAGAAAATCATCTAGTACAAATCTCTTCATTTTATTTTTTATTTATTTTATTTTTTAATTTTTTTCAACGTTTTTATTTATTTTTGGGACAGAGAGAGACAGAGCATAAACGGGGGAGGGGCAGAGAGAGAGGGAGACACAGAATCGGAAACAGGCTCCAGGCTCTGAGCCATCAGCCCAGAGCCTGACGCGGGGCTCGAACTCACGGACCGCGAGATCGTGACCTGGCTGAAGTCGGACGCTTAACCGACTGCGCCACCCAGGCGCCCCAAATCTCTTCATTTTAAACTGAACAGAGAAGTTAGATGACTTGCTCAAGGTCATATAATTACTAACTGGAAATATTAAGTTATATAGTTAAATACCAGGTTCCCTAGCTCTCACTATGTGTTACTGTAGAATTCCAGAGGACATCTGATGGACTTTATCTCTGTGTGGAAGCAGTGCAAGTTCCCAGCAATCTACATTTGGCATAGGCATCTGATTCTCCTGGAAAATCTATTCAAGGAAGTCTTTGTTTATTGTGCAACTAAGATCGTAAAAATGTACCCGTTACAACAGCAGTGCCCTACTTTCTTTTCAAATGAATTTTAAAGGTCAGATTCTAAGCCAGGATGTACTATCTTTACTATTTTGCTTTTCCATTTCCAAACATGTACAACATCAATACATTTGCCTTGATAATTTAGATCTTAATTATTAATACAGTTACAATGTATTTTTTTAAGTATGTGAGATAATAGAAAAAATATATATTGGTATCTGCCCCTAGCTCTTGACACAGGGTTCCTGAAACCCTTGTAATTTCCTTAGTGATAAGAGCACTAGGAGCATCTTTTGTTCTAATATTTGGTCTTTGGCCCTGGTTCCTGACACAGGGTTCCTGAAACCCTTGTCATTTCCTGGGTGATCAACTGATCATGCCAGTAGTATGAAGTTCAGAGAGCTTTCAGGATAACAAGCTATACACAGCATGAGGATGACACATCCCAACTCCACAGGGACAGAAGCTCTTGCACTCAGGGCCCTATGAAACCTGGTACTTATGTACCTCTTCATCTAATTGTTCATCTGTATCCTTTATCATATCCTTTAATAAACTGATATACAGGAAGTGTTTCTCTGAGTTCTATGAGCCACTCTAGCAAGTTAATCCAAGTTGAGGAGGGGATGGTGGGAACCTCCAATTTGTAGCCAAATTAGAGTTATGGGTAATCTGGTGACCTACTTACTACTTGCGACTGGCATCTGAACTAGGGTGGGAGCAGTCTTATAGGACTGAAACGCCAATCCATAGGATCTGACACTATCTGCAGGTAGATAGTGTCAGAATACAAGTTAAATTGTAGGATACCCAGCTGGTGTCACAGAGAATGGCTTGCGGTGAGGAAACCACATCTCCTCCCAACATTTGATGACCAAAAATGTCAGAAGTGAAGTGTTCTGGAGAAGGAGGAAAGGAGACACACAGCAGGAAAAAACTGGATTGTTTTTCTAATACCAACTTGAAAAGTAAAATATATACAATCAAATGATTATTGGTACTAGATCAACTGTAAAGAATTGCAATTTAATTTATAATTCTGCCTAAGGAATGTATAAACTCAAAATGGAAAAAAATACGAGTATTTCTAAGATTATACAAATACGTAGGTTGGTTTTGGAGTACAATACAGGTAAAACTAAATATTTTCATTTAATGCAAACCATAAATTCACAGCAAATTCATAAATAAGAAATCTACCAAAATGAAGATTATGTTCCACTTCTATTAATTTATAAGATTAATACTGTTTCTTCATTTTAAAGTGTACAACAGTTTCTCATTATTATTGAACACAACCTCTAAACAATTTTACTCCTCCCTACATTTTCTTCTCTTGCCACCTAATTCCCCTTTTTTTTATCCTTTCAGGAATTGCTAATCCTCTGGTTTCCATATTATTGTTTCATTAAAATTTCCTATCTAAGAAATTTGCATACCAATAATCAACAAGGAACTGTGCTAAGTTCTCTCAAAAATGTAGCTTTATTCAATTCACTGTCAAAGCCTTATGAACTAGTCAACAAATTGCTACCCACATTTTTTAAGGTGTCTAGTTACTAAGCTCCCTGAACTCACTGGGGGTTCAGTGAGGCTCTCAGATTTATAGCAGGATCAGAAGAGTAAGAATGCTTAGATGTTCCACTTTCACCTTTAACAGATAAGACCTGAAAAATGCACTCTTTTTGATTACTAAAGTAAATGACACTATTTCATTCTGATGGCTTTGTTTTGGCTTCTTCTGTTTTTTGAAAATAGCATTTAATACTTTTAATTATTTTAAAAAGCCAGTATATTCTTTTAAAAATGTTGAAAACTGGGAAGGCTGGGTGGTCCAGTCAGTTGAGCCTCTGACTCTTGATTATGGCTCAGGTCACAAGCCCTGCGTCAGGCTCCACGCTGAATGTGGAGCCTGCTTGGGATTCTCTCTCTCTCTCTCTCTCTCTCTCTCTCTCTCTCTCTGCCCCTCAATCCTGCTCATGCTCTCTCTCTAAAATAAACAAATGAACAAATAAAATATTAAAAATAAGAAAAATGTAGAAAACTTAATTAGTAAAAACTTCAACCATCATCAATTACCCAAAAACATCTATATCTGGTATAGATTCTGTCAATAATTTTTATGTCAGTTTTTTGGAAAACCCTAAACCCCAGGACTTTAGTAGCAAAGGTGAAATAAAGCACCTAGACCATTTCATATTTCCACTTAAAAGTATTCTAACAACCTTTTGGGCTTCCTTATTACATGGGAAATAAAGTCTTGTAATCACAAAGTTCCACCTTTTCCTTTCCTTTCTTGAAGGAAAAAAATGGAATGTTAAAATTCAATAAAGTACCAAGAACAGGGCACCTGGGTGGCTCAAATGGTTAAGCATCTGGCTTTGGCTCAGGTAATGAACTTGAAGTTTGTGAGTTCGAGCCCTGTGTCAGGCTCTGTGCTGACAGTTCACAGCCTAGAGCCTGTTTTGGATTCTGTGTCTCCCTCTTTCTCTCTACCCCTCTCCTCCTCATGCTCTCTCTCTATCAAAAATAAACATTAAAAATAAATTTTTAAAAACAAAAGTACCAAGAACATAACATCTATGATTACATCACCCAGAACTGATAAGTCTCAATCTTGTCACATTTGTTTACCTTCCCTTTTGTAAAGGAATAACATTACGATTAAAGTGATTAAAGTCAAAGTCCCCCAATAAGCCACAACTCTAAATCCCATTCCTTTCCCCCTCCTCAGTAGGAACCTATTATGAGTTTAGAGTCTATATTTCTAGTCTACTATTAAAAATTCTTTATACATATATAGATATAATAAGCCATAAGTACTTTAATATATATACATAACAACAAACTGCATACTTTATTCAGCATTTTCCTTACTTTATTCAGCATCTGATACACAGACCTAGCTCATTGCTTTTAACAACTCCAATGTTCCATCAAATGAGTAGACTTTTATTTACCCATTTTCCTACTGATAAACATTTAGCATTCTTTTCCTTTTAAAAATTTAAATTTAGGGGTGCCTGGGTGGCGCACCCGGTTGAGTATCCAACTTTGGGTCGGGCCATGATCTCAAGGCTCCTGAGTTTGAGCCCTGTGCGTCAGGCTCTGTGCTGACAGCTCAGAGCCTGGAGCCTGCTTTGGATTCTGTGTCTCCTTCTCTCTCTGCCCCGCCCCCACTTGCGCTTGCAAGCGCGCGCGCGCTCTCTCTTTCTCTCTCTTGAAAAGAAATTAAAAAAAATAAATTTATAAATTTTCTTAAAATTTTTAAAGTCGTTTCTAAACATTATATAAGCCACAAGAATTTTAAGCTCTTTTTCTAAAATTTAACATTTTATATGAGTTTTCAAGTCTCTTCCAGTTCTAACACACATAAACACACAATTCTGTTAATCTAATTTAAATTTTTTCATCTAAAACTTTTGCCTGAATTTTTCTTTTTATTTTATTATTTTGTTTCACTTTAGAGAGAGAGTGTGTGTGTGCACGAACAGGAGAGAGGAGCAGAGGGAGAGAGAAAGAGAGAGAGAACCTTAAGCAGGCTCCACACTCAGAGCAGATCCTGATGTGGGGCTCAATCCCATGACCCTAGGATCATGACCTGAGCCAAAATCAAGAGTCAGATGCTAAATCTACTGAGCCAGCCAGGCTCCCCTGACTGAATTTTTAAATTATAAACTTTGAGTGTATATAGTAATATATAACACGTATAATAATGAACTATTGTACAATTATTTGTTTAATTATTGTATTAAATAACAACAATATATAAATGCAATCTTTGTGTATGTGTGATTTGATACACCAATCATACTGCCAATACCTTTTTTTTTTAATGTTTTATTTATTTTGAGAGAGAGAGAGAGAGAGAGAGTATGCACATGTGAATGCACCCATGAGTAGAGGGAAGGGCAGGGACAGAGGAAAGAGAGAATTCCAAGCAGGCTCCACTCTTTCAGCACAGAGCCCAACGTGGGGCTCAATGCCACAAACCATGAGATCATGACCTAAGCTGAAATCAAGAGTCAAACACTCAACCGACTGAGCCACCTAGGTACCCCACACTGCTAGTACTTCTAAAAATCCTTTGCAGAAATTGAAGAAGACACAAAGAAATGGAAAAAAAAGAAACCAAAAAACACATTCCATGCTCATGGATTGGAAGAATAAGTATCGTTAAAATGTCAATACTACCCAAAGCAATCTACACTTTCAAGGCAATCCCAATCAAAATTGCACAGGCATTCTTTTCAAAGCTAAAGCAATCCTAAAATTTGTATGGAACCACAAAAGACCCCAAATATCCAAAGTAATATTGAAAAAGAAAACAAAAATGGGAGGTATCACAATCCCAGACTTTAGCCTCTACTACAAAGCTATAACCATCAAGACAGTATGGTATTGGCACAAAAACAGACACAAAGACCAATGGAATAGAATAGAGAACCCAGAATTGAACCCAAAATGTATGGCCAACTAATCTTTGACAAAGCAGGAAAGAGCATCCAATGGAAAAAAGACAGTCTCTTTAACAAATGGTGCTGGGAGAACTGGACAGGAACATGCAGAAGAATGAAACTAGACCACTTTCTTACACCATACACAAAAATAAACTCAAAATGGATGAAAGACCTAAATGTGAGACAGGAAACCATCAAAACCCTAGAGGACAAAAGGGCAACAACCTCTTTGACCTTGGCCACAGCAATTTCTTGCTCGACACATCTCCAAAGGCAAGGGAATTAAAAGCAAAAATGAACTATTAGGACCTCATCAAGAGTAAAAGCTTCTGCACTGCAAAGGAAGAAATCAACAAGACTAAAAGGCAACCGACAGAATGGCAAAAGATATTTGCAAATGACATATCGAATAAAAGGTTAGTATCCAAAATCTATAAAGAACTTACCAAACTCAACACCTGAAATACAAATAATGCAGTGAAGAAATGGGCAGAAGACATGAATAGATACTTTTCCAAAGAAGACATCCAGATGGCCAACCGACACATGAAGAGATGCTCAATGTCACTCATGATCAGGGAAATACAAATCAAAACCACACCGAGATACCACCTCATACCTGTCAGAATGGCTACAATGAACAACACAGGAAACTACGGATGCTGGCGAGGATGTGGAGAAACGGGAACCCTCTTGCACTGTTGGTGGGAATGCAAACTGGTGCAGCCGCTCTGGAAAAGTGTGGAGGTTCCTCAAAAAATTAAAAATAGAACTACCCTATGACCCAGCAATAGCACTACTAGATTTATTCAAAGGATACAGGAGTGCTAATGCACAGGGGCACATGTATCCCAATTTTTATAGCAGAGCTTTCAACAACAGCCAGATTATGGGAAGAGCCCAAATGTCCATCAACTGATGAATGGATAAAGAAGATGTGGTTTACATATACAACAGAATACTACTTGGCAATGAGAAAGAATGAAATCATGCCATTTGCAGCAACGTGGATGGAAGTGGAAGGTATTATGGTAAGTGAAATAAGTTAGAGAAAGATATCATATGTTTCACTTATATGTGGAACTTGAGAAACCTAACAGAAGACCATGGGGGAAGGGAAGGGGGAAAAAAAGTTACAGAGAGGGAGGGAGGCAAACCACAAGAGACTCTTAAATACAGAGAACAAACTGAGGGTTGATGGGAGGGTTGGGGAAGAGGGAAATGGGTGATGGGCATTGAGGAGGGCACTTGTTGGGATGAGCACTGGGAGTTATATGTAAGTGATGAACCATGGGAATTTACCGCCAAAACCAAAAGCACACTGTACACACTGTATGTTAGCCAATTTGACAGTAAATTACATTTAAAAAAATAATAATAAAATAAAAGTCCTTTGCACAAGGGATATTTCAGGGTTTGGTTAGTCACTCTAATAGAACTTGCACTTGCTTTCCAATCACTGTTTTTCCTCTGAATTGTTATAAATTTGGTATTTATAAAGTTAGTTTTATTTTTATTTATTCGTTTATTTATTTATTTTTAGTTTTCTTATTTTTTATTTTTTTTTTAAGTTTACTTATTTATTTTGAGAGAGAGGGAGAGCACGAGCAGGCAAAGGACAAAGAGAGAAAGGAAGAGAGAATCTGAAGCAGGTTCCACACAGTCAATGCAGAGCCTGATGCAGGGCTCAAGCTCACAAGCGATGAGATCATTACCTTAGCCAAAATTAAGAGCTGGACACTTAACTGACAGAGCCATCCAGGCACTCCTAGTTTTATTATTTTTAAATCCCATTTTATAGCATATGTACAACATAACTTCATTCACTGCAACTTGATGAGTTTGGATGATGGCTTAATTAAAATATTTTTGCACTTTGTACAAAAAAATATTAGTAAGCCTCTTTAGAGTTCAAAGAGGTTCTTGGTAGTTATTTATTTTTTATTTTGAGAGTGAGAGTGCAAGTAGGGGAGAGGAACAGAGGGTGAGAATCTTAAGCAGGCTCTATGCTTAGCCAGGGAGCCTGAAGGTAGGGGGGACTAGACACTGGGCTCCATCCTATGACCCTGGGATCTTGACCTGAGTCAAAATCAAGACACTCAGACTGAGCCACCCAGGTGCCCCAAGAACAAAAAGGTTTTACAAACACACTAGAAGGTACAAATTAAGTACATCTGATATGCTAATTAGATGTCTTTACTTTTCTTTAAAATAGCTTCCATAGATCCTTGCTTTATAATGCGTTGTCAGCCAATTCTGAATTAAAGGCTTACATTTTTTAAACAACACACATTACATGAAGTATCATTAATGTACACTTCTGCTACCACCTCTACCTCCAAATTAGTCAGGATTAGTGAGAAATTAGTTGTATAAACCATCATTAATTACATTAGATATGCATTAACTAAGTTTTGAAATCTTCAAAACGTTATATACCAATAATTTCTACTCATCTTTTCAGACTTAGATAAGGCCTTGTGTGTAAATCTGAAAATCAGTCTGGCTACAGACATTCCATAAGCTTACTATGTATATGTATAATCTTTAGGTCTGTATATGAAGCTCATTGTTTCTACTGCAACAATAATATCTGGGAGCCCCTGGGTGGCTGAGGTGATTGACTCTTGATTTTGGCTCAGGTCATGATCTCACAGTTTTGGGATTGAGCCCCGTGCTGGACTCCATGCTGATAGCGTGCAGCCTGCTTGGGATTTTCTCTCCCTCGCTCTCTGCCCCTTCCTCACTTGCATGCAGGCACAATCTGTCTCAAAATAAATAAACATTTAAAATAATAATAATAATAATCATATTGGTATTTTGCTGATGCATCTCCAGCTACTAAAAGTCCTAAGAGACCAAATGTTTAGTCAGTATTTTTAAACTGTAATAAAATTTACATAGATTTTTATACAGACAACTAAGTACCTAAGAAATTCTGCACATCAATTTTCCTTCTATTGTAAAAATAAAAGACTAAATTTCTTAACTTATGGTTTTTAGAGTAAGCTATATTTACATTTTCTAAACAGTAGTTCTGAAATATACTCCCTAAGTACAATATAATAATCTACTAGCTGTTAATGACATAATACAGTACATATGAAAACACACAAATTACAAAGTGACAGGAAAATATAAGTTCATATTATATTCTAGTCAGAAATATCTATTGGTAAAAACAGATCTTTTAAGATTTTCCCAAGTGTGAACAGAAAAAGTAAATAAATACATACAGAAATACTGACCTCAGTTGCAACTTTTTGTCCATTATCCTCCATGATGCCAAACTTTAAAACTGCAACCTATAACTGTATGCTAAATAATGACAAATAAAATTTATCACAACTGCCTCTACTTCTGACACTGGCATCTATATATCTTCCTTTCAAATTACCTCAAACGTCGCTACTGCATTCCCTAAAAGTAGCAACAATATGTCGTGCTTGAAATCCATAATAATCCTGTGGAAAATCCAAAAGCTTTCTTTTTTTATTAAAGTGAAAGAAAAATGAACTGAAGATAATTTACATTATCGGTATAATCGATTTTGTTTCTATGATAGAAATAGTAACTTCCACTAAATTAGTTCACTCTTAAGTGCTTAAGGAAAAGCACAATCCTGCTCAGTAACACTTAACAACCAACTCTTTACTATCTAAAGTTCCTATTACTATCTAAGTAAAACAACTTTTCATTGTTTCTCCTTCCCTTTCTTCCTCAACGTGTCAAATGTCTGTTTACCTAAGGCAATATCACCTACATATAAATAATAGTACTGTCAATTTTTAACTTGTTCTTTCAGGACTACAGAATTTCCATTCTTACATTCAGTAAAATCAATAGTACTCAAATATTTCTTCAATTATACAAATATAAAACGTATTTGCATTCTAATTTTTAGATTTAAAATTGTTCAGTATTATTTATTGTATTCTTTATATAATATCAGTCATTTGGAAAACAGTATAGCTCTAAGATCCCCTTTGAGGGGCAACTGGGTCATGATCTCATGGGTCACGGGATCAAGCCCCACGCTGAGCGTGGAGCCTGCTTAAGATTCTCTCTCCCTCTGCCCCTCTCCCCCACTCCACTTACACACACTCGCTCTCCCAAATTTAAAAAAAAAAAAAAAAAAAAGAGGGGCACCTGGGTGGCTCAGTCAGTTGGGTGTCCGACTTTGGCTCAGGTCATGATCTCGTGGTTCATGGGTTTGAGCCCCACATTGGGCTCTCTGCTGTTAGCGCAGAGCCTGCTTCAGATCCTCCGTCCCCCTCTCTCTCTGCCCCTCCCCCACGTGTGCACGTGCTCTCTCTCTCAAAAATAAACATTATAACTTAAAGAAAAAAAGAAATAGTATAAGTATGTATACTGCTATAACCTAAGGTGCTAGAGAAAAATATCATAGGAAAATTATGATACCTTATGTCAACTTCGTTAAACTCATAAACTCAAACAGTCCCTTACTCTGTATGGTGCTAGGTTAGAACTGGCTAAACACAAAGTCCGCACAAAACTAGGAAGACAAGAGTGATGCAAGAGCCATTACACTCAGAAAATTTGCAGGATTACATGTGGTAAAACAGAAACAGAGAAACAGATTCCAGTTATCTTCACTCTTCCCTGCACTGGGTCAGCTCTTCCTCACAACTGCTGATCCTACTGCGTAAGAGTGGACTCAGGCTCTCCACCAGACTCTTGATGTGGACAGTGAAAGACAGCTACAAAGAGAGGATAGCTTTCTCTACACTCTCCCACCAGCTCCATTACATGATCCTATTCTGGCTACAGGACATGCTTTCCTTCCTAGATGGTTTTGAAAGCTCTGACTTGAGTATACATACTAGTCTTTCAGGAAGGCTGCTTAGTGACTTCTCAGTAATCCTTCACCACTCTCTTTTTTGACCGTGACTTCCCCTGCTTCTCTCACAGTTGTCACAGGTCTTATTCCTATCATAAATCCCTTATTCTATAATAGTGAAGGGTTCTGTTTCTCTATTGAACCCTGATACAGTTTTTGGTACCAAATGTGGTTTCTAGGGTAACAGAACTACAGTGATAGTAATTTGGAATCACTTTTCTGACCTGACTAGATTTAAGGCCATTAATGATCCTATTACCAGTGGTAAGGAGCCACTGGTAGTTCATCATGTTAAGGCAGAAATTAAATTATTCCCTGTAGGGGCACCTGGGTGCCTCAGTTGGTTAAGTGTCTGACTCTGGATTTCAGCTCAAGTCATGGTCTCATGATCGTGGAGCCCCACGTCAAGTCCTCACTGAGCGTGGAGCCTGCTTGGGATTCTCTCTCTCCCCCTCTCTCTGCTCTTTCCCCACCAGTGTGTGCACGGGTATTCTCTTTCTCTTTCAAAATAAATAAATAAACTTAAAAAAATTATCGTCTATAAATACCTATAATCAACATAAGGCTTTAGGTGATCAAGTAGTTGCTGCCACA